AATTAGCTGGGCATGGTGGCTCAGGCCTGTGGTCTCAGCCACACTGGAGGCTGAGGCAGGAGGATCTCTTGAGCCCAGGAGGTCAAGGCTGCAGTGAGCCATGATTGTGCCACTGCACTCCAGCCTGAGTGAGACAGTGAGACCCTATCTCCAAAAAAAAAAATTAACCATAAATGTAGAATATGACCCAGCAATTCCACCCTTAAATGTCTACTTAGGAGAAATAAAAATGTATATTCACAAAATAATTGTATAGCAAATGTTCATAACAGCATTATAGATGACAGCCAAAAAGTGAAAACCACCCAAATGTGATTGGATAAACAAAATGTGGCATATCCCTACAACAGACTACTACTCAGCAATAAAAAGGAACAGACTGGGTGCAGTGGCTCATCCCTGTAATCCCAGCACTTTGGGAGGCCGAGGTGGGCGAATCATCTGAGGTTGGAAGTTCGAGACCAGCCTGACCAACATGGAGAAACCTCATCTCTACTAAAACTACAAAATTTGCCAGGCATGGTGGCAGGTGCCTGTAATCCCAGGTACTAGGGCGGTTGAGGCAGGAGAATCACTTGAGCCCAGGCGGCAGAGGTTGCAGTAAGCTGAGATTGCGCCATTGCACTCCAGCCTGGGCAACAAGAGCGAAACTCTGTCTCAAAAGAAAAAAAAAAAAAAAAAAAAGGAACAGACTACCCATACATGCTACAACACAGGTAAAGCTCAAAAACATTATGCTTTTGTGACGCCAGATGCAAAAGACCACATTGCAAGATTCCATTTATATAAAATATCCAAACAAGGGAACTCTATGGAGACTGGAGACAGAGAGTAGATTAGTCACCCAGGGCTGGGGATGGGAAGGGAGAGCTACAAGTAGGGAGGAGGAGTCTTTTTTTTTTTTTTTTTTTGAGACGGAGTCTCGCTCTATCGCCCAGGTTGGAGTGCAGTGGTGCCATCTCCACTCACTGCAAACTCTGCTTCCCAGGTTCATGCCATTCTCCTGCCTCAGCCTCCTGAGTAGCTGGGACTACAGGCGCCCACCACCACGCCCGGCTAATTTTCTGTATTTTTAGTAGAGACAGGATTTCGCCATGTTAGCCAGGATGGTCTCAATCATCTGACCTCGTGATCTGATCTCCTCGGCCTCCCAAAGTGCTAGGATTACAGGCGTGAGTCACCGGGCCCAGCCAGGAGGAGGAGTCTTATAAGCAATGTTCTAAAACTGGATTATGGGGCTGGGCACGGTGGCTCATGCCTATAATTCCAGCACTTTGGGAGGCTGAGGTGGGCAGATCACCTGAGGTCAGGAGTTCGAGACCAGCCTGGCCAACAGGGTGAAATCCTGTCTCTACTGAAAATACAAAAATTAGCTGGGCGTGATAGCATCCGCCTGTAATCCCAGTTACTTGGGAGGCTGAGGCACGAGAATCACTTGAATCTGAGAGGCGGAGGTTGCAGCGAGCTGAGATCAAGCACTCCAGCCTGGGCAACAGAGTGAGACTCCGTCTCAAAAAAAAAAAAAAAAAAAAAAATTAGCTGGGCGTGGTGGTGGGTGCCTGTAGCCCCAGCTACTTGGGAGGTTGAGGCAGGACAATTGCTGGAATCCGGGAGGTGAAGGCTGCAGTGAGCCGAGATTGTGCCACTGCACTCCAGTCTGCAAGACAAAGTGAAACTCTGTCTCAAAGAAAACCCCAAAACTGGATTATGATGATGGTTGCATAACTGTAAATTTACTAAAAATCATTGAATTGGACACTCAAAATGGGTTATGTGTGGTATGTTCATTTTTAAAAATACTGTCGGCTGGGCGTGGTGGCTCACACCTGTAATCCCACCACTTTGGGAGGCCGAGGTGGGCGGATCATGAGGTCAATAGATCAAGACCATCCTGGCCAACGTGGTGAAACCCCATCTCCACTAAAAATACAAAAATTAGCTGGGCGTGGTTGTGCGCGCCTGTTGTCCCAGTTTCTCGGGAGGCTGAGACAGGAGAATTGCTTGAACCCGGGAGGCAGAGGTTACAGTGAGCGGAGATCGCGCCACTGCACTCCAGTCTGGGTGACAAAGCAAGATGCTGTTAAAAAAAAAAAAAAAAAAAAAAAGTTGGCCGGGCGTGGTGGCTCATGCCTGTAATCCCTGCACTTTGGGAGGCCGAGGCGGGTGGATCACAAGGTCAGGAGTTTGAGACCAGCCTGGCACACGTGGTGAAACCCCGTGTCTACTAAAAAAAAATTAAAAAATAAAAAAAAAGTCTATTTCATAGGCCGTTATGGGGATTAAGTGAGCATGCAGTAAGTACTACAGAAGTTTCTATGGGGTTGGACGCCTGGGGTGCAGTTCCCCAAAAAGGGCAACCCGGCAGGTCTCCTGCTCCCAAATCCTTGAACACAGTCCTTACTGCCCCAGGTGAGACCTAGATGGGCCAAGGAAAGGGAAGTGCTGGCTTCTGGATCCAGAGGTGCCCTTTCTAGCCCTCACTCTGGAGGTGTTCTTAGATGGGACCCGGCATCCAGCCTTGTCCCTATTTTTCTCCTATAGGAGAGATTCCTGAGAAGGGTGTTGCCTCTCTCGTCGCAGGCCGAGGATGGGGTCGAGAGTCCTCTACTGGAGGCAATGGTAATTGCAGCAGCTGGGCCTGCCGAGGTGAGTTCTGGTGACTGCTCACATCATGTTTCAACCCTCCCAACAATGTGAGGAAGCCACTGTTGTCTCCTTTTCACTGATAAGGACATTGAGTGTCTAGATGACCTGCCCAGGGTTGCACAGCGCCACCCTGCCCCATCCAGGCCATCAAGGGTGGTTTGATGATCTCCTTTCAGCTGGTCCTTTCAGCTGGAGAGGCACTCACAGTATTCTACTGTTTGTAGAGTGATTCCATCCCTGGGCCCATATTCTGGGGTGCCTGATGAGGGCAAGGGGAAGTAGGGAAAGTGGAGGCAGAGAGAAGGACTCACAATCGTAATGACCCCTCAATAAAGTCCCCAAACTCACATGGTTCGGAAGGGGGAGCTGGCAGCTTTTGGAGGCAGAGAAAGAAGAGGTCATTGATCTGCACTGTTATGTAATATTCACTCATTTATTCATACTGATCATTTTCTCAGGCATTCTCTCCTTGTGTCGACACTGTGCTAGGCACAGGAGTGCAAGCAGGAACTGCTGTTTGGGATGAGTCCTCAGCACTGTCCTGCAGAAGAGACAGCCATGAAGACCATCCTTCCAGAACTTTCCTTGTGTATGTGTGCGTGTGTGTAGAGGTGGGCTTTTCGAGCAATTATGAGCCTTGGAGTCTAGACACAGCTCAGCTTCATGACTTGGCAGGACCCCAGGATCCCCCCTCATGACAACTGCCCTGGAGAGCTCTTCTGCAGGAGATGTTAGAGGGTGAGTGTTTTGGGCAATGGAACACCACACCTCCTCCTCCCTCAAACCTTCGCCCCATCTAGGGACTTTACCTCTGGAGTCTGCAGGTGGGGGAGGCAGACCCTCCTTACCCCTGTCCTTCCAGATGTTATTTGATGACACATAGGGAAATTACACCTCTGTTGTCACCTCTAGAAGGGCCCAGAGGCAAGCTGCATCATTTGTCCCCTTTCTGAAACCCTCTCTTGTCCTGGCCCCAGAATAAGATATTTCTATGTGGAGCCGCCCCCAGCATTCTTCCACACCTTTACCCCCAGCCATCATACCAATTTCTGTATTTCCACAGATAGGAAATGGCAGTATTCCAATAACCTGATTTTTATCAACAGAGAAATATCCCAGGGAATCATTTATTCACTCACTTGCTCATTCATTCATTCACACATATTGATTGAGCACCCATTATATCTTGGCCATTGTTCTAGGCAGTGGGGATGCACCACCAATCAAGATGAAGTTCTCATCAACTCATTTCCAGACTAATGGGAGAGACAGACACTAAAGAATAAATCCAGGCCGGGCGCGGTGGCTCAAGCCTGTAATCCCAGCACTTTGGGAGGCCGAGACGGGCGGATCACGAGGTCAGGAGATTGAGACTATCCTGGCTAACACGGTGAAACCCCGTCTCTATTAAGAAATACAAAAAACTAGCTGGGCGAGGTGGCGGGCGCCTGTAGTCCCAGCTACTCGGGAGGCTGAGGCCGGAGAATGGCGTGAACCCGGGAGGCGGAGCTTGCAGTGAGCTGAGATCCGGCCACTGCACTCCAGCCTGGGCGACAGAGCGAGACTCCGTCTCAAAAAAAAAAAATAAATAAATAAATCCATTTACAGACTTTTATGTAACAGTAAGCTACGCAGAAACTAAAGAAGGTTAAGGGGATAGAACAGGGTGGGCGTGTGTGCTGCAGAATTTGTACTGGAAATTCACTTTTTCTTTATTTTCTTTGGGGGATATGAGAGTGAGGCTCTGTGCGTGCCCTCCTCTGGCCTCTTCAACCTGTTTGGCAGATCAAGCCTCAGAGCGGAGCATCCTGGGATTGGGGGTCAGGGGTTGCAGAGCCAGCACTCTGAATTTAGTTGAGGCGGAGTATTTAGATACTGCATCAGAGAAATGGAAATAGGTACTGAGACAGCCTATTTATCGGCTTCCATGGGTGTAATAACACTCTCACCCTTCCAAATTTATTTTTTTCTTTGTTCATCTTGCATATAACTACTGAGTTCTTAACTACTTATACATTACAGCATTTTTTGAGCCTGCTGTGTGCCACGTACTGTTTTAAGGGCCATTCACGGCCCGCTAGAATCCCTGCTGTGCAAAGCTTGTAAACAACCATTGCCTCATTTCATCTTTCCCCTAAACATTATTTCTGATATTCATCTACGTTGATTCACATAGCTCTTTTAGTCCCAAGAGGGCAGATATGAACCGTCCCATTTTACAGATGCAAAACTCAGACTGCTCGGGAAAAAACAAGTTGCTTTCCGACGACGAAATCCCAGGACGCCACTGGGCCACGTGCGGCGGCGCATCTGGCCCCTCGCGATCCCACCCGCGCACGCTCCCTCCCGCGCTCCCTCCCAGCCGCCGCCGCGCCGGGTCCACGTGTGTGTGTCTGTGTGCGGAATGGGGACGGGGGCGGCGCCGCCGGAGGGGTGGGGTCCGGGCTAACGTCACGGGTGGTGCGGCCCAATCAGCGGCGGGCTCGCGGCCCCGGCGCTGGTATTGGGGCAGCGAGGGGGCAGTTCTCTATAACGCGGTCTCCGGGAGCCAGCGGGGAAGAAAGAAACCGAGCGGGCTGAAGGCGCCCTCCCCGCCGCCTGGGCCCGGGCACCGGGTGCCGGGCCCGGGGTCCTTCCCGCCTCCCGCGGCCGCAGGCCGCTTTGTTTCCCCTGCCTCTGCGCTTCGGGCGACTCGAGAGGGTCTCCCGCCGGGGCTGCGAAGGGGACGCGGCGGCAGAAGGGCGGCCGACCCCGCCGGGACTCACAGGGACCCAGGAGTCCGGCTGCCGGGAGGGCCGCGTGAGGAGAGCGAAGAGGGAGCCCGAGCTCTGCGGCCCTGGGTAGCGGGCCGGGGGCGCCCGTGAGCAGAGACCTCCCCGTCGACGGGGGGCGATGTTCCCCTCGCCCGTGGGCTCTTCGGGCAGCCAGGGCATCCCGCCGCTGGGACCTGGACCCCCTCAGTGGGCACCCCTCAGGCTGCTCCATGGAGACCCTGTGCCCCGCACCCCGCCTGGCAGTGCCGGCGTCCCCGCGAGGGTCGCCCTGCTCTCCCACGCCCCGGAAGCCGTGTCGGGGGACCCAGGAATTCTCTCCGCTGTGCCTGCGTGCCCTCGCCTTCTGCGCCCTTGCCAAGCCCCGGGCGTCCTCTCTGGGCCCGGGGCCTGGGGAGCTGGCGGCGCGGTCTCCCGTGCTGCGGGGCCCTCACGCCCCCCTGCGCCCTGGCGGCTGGGCCCCGGATGGCCTGAAGCACCTCTGGGCACCGACCGGGCGGCCCAGCGTTCCTAACACCGCGTCCAGCGAGGATGCGGACGTCGCAGCGTGCCCCCGCCGCGGAGAAGAGGAAGAGGGCGGAGGCGGTTTCCCGCACTTCGGCGTTCGCTCCTGTGCACCTCCGGGCCGCTGCCCTGCGCCCCCGCGCCCTCGGGAATCTACGACCGGCTTCGCCTCGGCCCCGCCTCTCCCGGCCCCGGGTCTCGAGCCTCAGCGTGGCCCAGCCGCCAGCCCGCCTGAAGAGCCCAGTTCCCAACCTCCGTCGCCATCTGCGGGCCTCTCCACCGATCCCGCGGGTCCCGGGGCGGCGCCGGGGCCATTCCTGCCCGGTCAGCCTGCCGAAGTCGATGGAAACCCCCAGCCGGCCGCCCCCGAGGCTCCAGCGGCCAGCCCCTCGACGGCCAGCCCGGCTCCGGCCGCACCTGGAGATCTCCGCCAGGAACATTTCGATCGTCTGATCCGCCGGTCGAAACTTTGGTGTTACGCGAAGGGCTTCGCCTTGGATACCCCGAGTTTGCGCCGGGGGCCAGAGCGGCCGCCTGCGAAAGGGTCGGCTCGGGGAGCCGCCAAGAAACGCCGGCGGCCGGCGCCCCCTGCGCGCACCGCGCAGCCCCGCCGCCCTGCACCGACGCTCCCCACCACTAGCACCTTCAGCCTCCTCAACTGCTTCCCCTGCCCCCCGGCCCTGGTAGTGGGGGAAGACGGAGACCTAAAGCCGGCATCCTCGCTTCGCCTCCAGGGAGACTCTAAGCCCCCGCCCGCCCACCCGCTGTGGAGGTGGCAGATGGGGGGTCCTGCTGTCCCTGAGCCCCCTGGCCTCAAATTCTGGGGGATCAACATGGATGAAAGCTAACCGTGGGACTTCTGCCAAAGGGGAAAAGTTGGGACCATGGCCAAACCGCGGGCTTGAGGAGGGAGCCCCGTTTCTCACATTTGTCCCCTTCCTTTACATTTTAGGAGCTGTGGGCAGAGGGACCTAAATGACAGTGATCTTCATTCAAGCACCTAAGTGTTCGGGGTGACAGTCCCTCCCCCTCATCCTTTGCAAAGAAACCCAGGGCTGGAGTCGGGAGAAGGCTTAAGCCAAAAAGGCTGATTCCAATCCCTGCCCCCTTCCATCTCGGACCGTTGGAGGCAGGGCCTACACCCCAGTGGGAGCAAAGGAGGCCACCGCTCAAAGACAGCCCCCACCCCCCAAAAAAAAGGAGAGGAGAGAGACCTCGGTGATGGACAAACCGGTTGTTACTGTGTTTGTGGGCGAGCCTGGGGTGCGGGGGCTGCGGTGGGGGTGGGGAGATGATTGGCAGCTCCCTGGGGGCATCCCCCACCCCCACTGTCCAGGCCTTTAACCCTTTGCTCCCCTCAGGCCTTCCCTAACGCTCCAAGCACCGTTGGAGCCTTCAATGGGTGAGGGAGCTTGGGTAAGAGGTAGATCACCCCCTTCCTGTCCCCTTTCTAGGCCCCCTCAAGTGCAGGTGACCCCTAATTGGTGAGATCTTCAGTCTCAGCCGCCGACCTTTCCCTTTTGTCCAGTTTTGGAGTTCCCATCTTTTTCTGTTTGCTTTCCGAGTGTAAGGTCTGGCCGGTGAGAAAGATTCCCCCCAACCTTGATTAATCAGCCCTCTCCCCCGACTTACTTTCCTTAGGACGGGTAGGGCTGAGGGACCTCTCCAGAAAAGTGCTTACTTTGCCTGGGGAAGGGGCAAGACACTGTCCCAGGGAAAGTAATAGAAGGTGGAAGAAATCAATAAAATCAGACCAAACAAGTCGCCTTTCGAGGGCCTCCACCGATTTATGGATGAGAGGGGGTGGAGGTGGAAGGCAGGCCCGAGTCCATTCTTGGACACCCAAACTCAGCCCCCTTAAAGAGTGGAAACAAAACAAGCTGCACTTTGCAGAGGTGGTAAATGAAAGGACTCTTGGCCTAACTGCAAGAGTCCCCTGGGGTTTGAAAGGACAAAGTTTGAGTCTGGATGGGATCTGCGCTGAGGTACCTTAAGCTTCCCCCGCAACACGTCCCAGCCTCAGGCATTGCGGGAGTTGTCAGAGATCTGATGGATCCGAAGCGGGCAGGGCCAGGGGATTAGGTTTGGGGTCAGAGGTTCTGTTTTCCAGGGGAGGGGTTAGATAGGCCTGGATCACGCCCTCTGCCATGCCCTCCAGCTAGGAGGATCTTGAGTCGGAGAGGGTTGGAAGCGTTTTCTCCTCCACCCAGGTGAGGTCAGGGGAGGTTACGTCTTAGGCAGATGGCAAGTTGAGATGTGAAGGGAAGGTGGGGCTTTTGGATCTGCCGAACAACTGAGGGACCCAGTGCCCCTTCTGCCCCGCACTAGTGAATAGCGCCCCCTCTTCCCCCCGAAAACGAGGTGAGAGAGGAACAGTTCCCACGCTGGGGAAGGACTTGTCTCCTTTTCTGTGAAAATGCTTTGTAAAAAGTTGTTACTGTTTGCCTAGAGCAGATTCTTGAGAAAAACTGTTTTGGACCATAAAAGTTTTGTTTTAAAAACTGTCTCCTTTCATTTTTCTTTCCCTGGGGGTGAGGGTGGGGGTGGGGTGGGTGGGCGTGGGGTGGGCACTTCTCTCTTTTTCCTTAACATCTGGCCTCTGTGAACCCTGCTGACCTCCCCTCCCCCTCCAGCTGTGTTGTGGGAGGAGGAAGGAGGGGTGGGGGAGTGCCTTCCACCCTGTGCTTCGGGGGTCTCCATCTTATTTTGCCCCCCAAAGAATGGAGAACGGGAAGAAGGCAGACACGAGAGGTGAGGAGAGAATCGCCGTGAAGAGGGGAGCTGTTAGGAGAAGTCTGGAAAGCAGACTCCCTGGTTTTCAAAGGCCCCTTGGTTTTAGTAATGTGCTCTGGGTCAGTGTGGGCCCCACCCGCCTGCCTGGAGCCGGGCACAGGACGATGGCGTGAGCTCAGGGTGAAGGAGGAAGGGCTGGTGGGCATGAAATACTCTTTTTGGACTTTCCTCCTCCTCCTCCGGGGCAGGAGGAGATGCTATCAATTTAGCTTCTTTCGTCCCTGCACCACCTGCCCCCACCCTTACTCCCCTACCCCCACCCTTACTCCCCCACCTCCACCCTGCAAGTGAGAGGGTTACCACTCGACCTGGAAGGGGGCGGGGCGGCGAGTTAAAAAACACGCCTTTTAGCCAAATAAGATTTAATTCTAGTTATTTTACAGAATAGGGAACTACATTAGTTTCCCAGGGCTGCCATAACGAATCACAACAAACTTGGTGGCTTAAAAGACAGATATTTAAGCCTCTGGGTGTGGTGGCTCACGTCTGTAATCCCAGCATTTTGGGAGGCCAAGGCGGGCAGATCACAAGGTCAGGAGATCGAGACCATCCTGGCCAACATGGTGAAACCCCGTCTCTACTAAAAATACAAAAATTAGCTGGGCGTGGTGGCTCGTGCCTGTAATACCAGCTACTCCAGAGGCTGAGGCAGGAGAATCGCTTGAACCCGGGAGTCGGAGGTTGCAGTGAGCTGAGATCATACCACTGCACTCCAGCCTGGCAACAGAGTGAGACTCCACCTCAGAAAACAACAACAACAACAAACCCAGATATTTCTTCTCTTCCATTTACTGGGCCAGAGGTCCAAAACCAAGGCGTTGCAGGGCTAAACTCCCTCTGGAGGCTCTCGGGAAGGGCCCCCTCCATGCCTCTTCCAGCTTCTGTGGCCCCACGTGTTCCTTGGCTTGTGGCTGCAGAGTTCCCATTCTCCCACTCTATGGCCCTCCCTTCTGTCATGAGGATACTTGTCATTGGCTTTAGGGCCCACCAGACAATCCAGGATGATCTTGTCTTGACATCTTTAATTAAGCTGCGTTTACAGAGACCCTTTTTCCAAATGAAGTCATATTCATAGGCTCTAGGGGAGTGGGGCTGGGGATTAGGACCTGGACACATCTTTCTGGGTTCCACCATTCAGCCCACCCCAGAAACTGAGTCCCAGAAAATAAAGAAACTTGCCTAGACTTTTTGGGGGAAGCAAACAGGTACTGGGTGTTTGGGGTTGGAACAGGAAACAGTGCACTTCCAAGCGAGGGCCACAGCAGGAGCAGCCTGGGGAAAGGGGAACCCCCGGCTTTCCCCAGGCTCTGAGCTCCTGGGGATCTGGGACTCCCTCTCCCATGCCAATACACTGGAGCCCAAGAGGGTCTGAGGAAGTCTGCTCTCCCTCCCAGGTGTCCTCAGCCACTGCTTCTACCCCTCCCCTCCTCCAGTCCCGTGTCCTCTAGGGCTGGTGGCCACCGCCTTGGTTTGTCAGGGATGTGGTTGTCACAGTCTTATTTCTGTCTGGGTCTCTAAGCTCTTACAGCGTCACGTGTTTTCCTTCTGTCTCAAAGGGTCTCAGAGGGTCTCCTCTCCGTGTGCCTTGGGGTCTCTGCCCTCCTCTTCAGGGTCTGGCAGGATCCCAAGAGTAAGCGCTCGCTCACCTCCCCCTAGCCCAGCCCTGTTTACCATCTCCTCCCTCCTCCCGGAGGCATCAGCCGCCTCTAGCCCCTCTGCCTGTCACCTCTTAGACCTTTGCAGCCTAACTTCTGCCCCTGAAACCGCTTTTGCCAAGGTCAGCCAGGACAGTCCCCAACCTCAAATTCAACAGTTGCCTCCCTGCCACCACTCCTGGACTTCTCCTGGACAGCCTGTGACACTGCTGGACACTCACAAGCGTCTCTCTCCCCAAAGGTCCCGCCTCTGTCTTCTTCCATCTCCTCCTCCTTTTGCCCCCCCCCCGCCGGAAGCTTTAAAAAGACCGAGTCCAACGAAGTCCGGTGGCGCCTGTCCTCCTCCCCATCTCCCCGCAGGATTCTGTTTTCCTCCCCCAGGTCATCAGCTTGCACCTATATGGGTAAATGACTCCCACTTGACTGTCCCTGCCTCCTCTCCCTCCAGCACCCCTCCTGAGCCTTGGTCCCACATCTCCACAGGGACAATGGCAACTCATATGCCCCTGTCAAAGACCAAGCTCCTGGCCCCTGCCCACAGCTCCCTGCCCATAGCAGTCTCCCTGGTCAAGTCCACATTCTGGTTACAGCTCTGCCTGTCTCCCCATTACTTCCCCTGGACTCAGCACCTTGAATTCTCAGCTGGGTCCTCCCATTTGACCCACAGCTATCTATTTCCAAGCCTTCCCCTGCTTCTCCCCTCCCAAGGATCTCTTGTGTCTGTAATCTCCACTCCATCATGGTGCGGTGTCCCCTACCTCTAGGCTGGACTATGACAGTAGCCACCTAACTATTAATAGTTTCTGGATGTCTGGTTTTTCTCTGATCCCCTCAGATCAGTTTACCTTCTTACTCCGTGGATCCCCTGATTGTATTAAATGCAGCCTCCTTCGTCTGTCATTTGGAGCCCTCTGTGATTTGGCCTTAACCCCCCGCACCCCCCCGCCCACCGCTTCCTCATCCAACTTGGTTCCCATTACTTCGCTTTATACCAGTGAAGATATACCTGGTCTACCAGGCTAGAATGCACTTCCTTCCCCAGCACGCCCAGCACACCCCTCCCTGCTTTCTTTACCTTCGTTCTTCAAAGCAACATGTCATCTCTCCCATGCCTTTTTTTATTCCCCCAGTTAGATGTGCTCCATGACACCTCTAGACTCTTGACTCTTCTGTGTCTGGTAGGAAGAGACCGTGGAGTGTGGAGGGCGAGTGCGGTTTTGGGGCCAGACACTCCTGATCCCCTGTCTCTATCGAGAACCTGGGTCAGGGAACTCCAGGCAGAACCTTCCTGACCTAAGCTTTCATTTTATTGCCTTGGTCTTAACTGAGAGTCATTGACATGTAACAACCACTTCAAAAAAATCACTCCTGCAATTGTAAAAACTTCCTGAGAAGGCTGGCAAGGTGGCTTGTGTCTGTAATCCCAGCACTTCGGGAGGCCAAGGCGGGGAGAATCATTTGAGCCCAGGAGTTTGAGCCAGCCTGGGCAATATAGGGAGACCGTGATGCTACCAAAAACAAACAAAAACAAAAAACAAGCTGGGTGTGGTGGCATGCACCTGTGGTCCCAACTCCTCTGGAGGCTGAAGTGGGACAATTGCTCAGCCACTTCAGGGAGATCAAGGCTGCAGTGAGCTGTGACCACTCCACTGCACTCCAGCCTGGGTGACAACAGGAGACCCTGTCTCAAAAACAAAAACAAAGAACACTTCCTAGGAAGACACTGTCCAAGGTGCCAAGTTCCCCTATGCTGTGTTCATATTTTCTCTAAGATAAACAGTTAGGGTATTGATGACAAAGTTATAATTATTTGTGATTTTTCTTATGTCCTTCTACAGTCATCTTGTATCTCTTGCTTCATTTTTTAAGGTCCTGGATCAGTGCCTTGCACCCAGCAGGCACCTAATGAATACCTGTCCAATGCATTTCACCCCACCTCCGTTCCTCCTGACCCCTCCACCCTTGTCCAAAGCATTTTTAAAAAGCCTTAAATGACTGCACAGCAGCTTGGCGAGTCGCCCTTGGCCAGCATGCAGTTCCAGAGCTTGTCCACTAGATGCTGCTGTCCGCTAGCACCAGAAGGAGGACGGCAAGCCAGAGAAGGGTGGCTGGAGAAGGGATTCGTTCTCCCAAGCCATGGAGTGAGAGCCCTGTGCTAGAGCCTGAGGGGATTGAAGTGCAAGACGTGGTCTCTGCACACAAGGAACTGAAGCAGGTGTCAGGTGTTTTGCAGGCATTATTTTACTTTCATAACAATAGATAAGTATTATTTGTTTAGCAGATGAGGAAATGGGACTCAGAGAGGTTAATTAACTTGCCTGAGGTCACACAGCCAGTGGAGGAGCAAAGTAGCTCTGGTCTGTCTGACTGGGTTTCCTGCTGAGTGGTTATCATAGCAAGCACTATAATGGCATTTCCTTGGAACTGGGCCTTGTTAAATTATGCTTAGTTGCTCATGTAATCCTCAGGACACAATATGAGGTAGGTACTTTTATTTATTTATTTACTTATTTATTTATTTTTGAGGCAGAGTCTTACTCTGTCACTCAGGCTGGAATGCAGTGGTGCAATCTTGGCTCACTGCGACCTCCACCTTCTGGGTTCAAGTGATTCTCGTGCCTCAACCTCCCGAGTAGCTAGGACTACAGGCGTGGGCCACCATGCCTAATTTTTTGTATTTTTTAGTAGAGATGGGGTTTCACTATGTTGGCCAGGCTGGTCTTGAACTCCCGACCCCAAATGATCCACCCACCTTGGCCTCCCAATGTACTGGGATTACAGGCGTGAGCCACCACGCCCACCCGTGGTACTATTAGTCCCATTTTGCAGATGAGAAAACTGAGGTTCACAGAGGTTAAGCCCATACAGCTACAGAATTGTGTCCTTTGAGTTTGTGCTCTAAATGACCACACTGCTGCCATGTTTCACCACCCAGCAGCAAGCGGTTATGGGGTGGGAGTAGCCCCCATCAATATATAGAGGTCCCAGAGCTTTGTTCCAGAGACACAAAGACACAGAGCCTGCCCCCAAGGTCCCTAGAGTGGTATGGGGAA